GTTGACCTCATGGCGCCAACATTCGTTCGTTTGTTGCATTTCGCACAAACTTGATGCCTCATTTCAGGTTTCAAGGCCTTCGAATTCAACAAAATGTATGTCACAAGACGTCTAGCTACTTCGCTGTTCGTCCACGCCGAAGTCCATGCCGCCATACTATCCATTGTTTGTTGCATTTCGCAAAATATTCCTGCCTGAACTGAGGTTTCGAGGATCAACTGCCACATAAAAGTCTGAGGGATTCTAGCTACTTCGGTATTAGCACACTTTGAGTCCCATGCTTCCATTGTTTTGTTGTGATTCGCACAGATTTAGTGCCTTATCACAGATGGCAAGGCCCTACAGCAAAATAGAAACTAGAAGAACTCCAACCCCTGCCTTATTTGCTCAAACTAACTTCCATACTACTATACTGTTCATTGTTTGGTTGCAATTCGAGCAGATTTTCTACCTGATGTGAGGTTTCAAGGCTCTACATCAAACTACTAGTCAGCAGAAATATAGCCACTTCACTATTGGCTCACGCCGAGTTCCCATGGCGCCATACTGTCCATTGTTTTGTTGCACTTCGCGCTAATTTGATGCCTGACATGAGGTTCCAAGGCTCTACAGCAGAAAGTAAGGCAGAGTAAGTCTGCTCACTCCACTATTAGCTCACGGTAAACTCCTTCCTGCCATCTGTCTATCATTTTGTTGCACTTCGCACGGAAGTGCGGCCTCATTCCAGGTTTCAAGGCTCTACAGTAAGATACTTCTACCCATTTCGCTAGTGGTCCACGCAGAATATCATGCTGTCGCATTATTCATTATCATTTACAATCATATATCATGTTACAATCTAACACCACCGCTCTCAATGCAACTAAGAACGAGACATCGGTAGGACTTGTAAAACTACCGAATATAATCACGATTAACATTATGATTTCGCACAATGTCAACTTCAGTTGTCCTGGTGATGCCTTGTTTCTCCTGTCCGTTTATATCTTGCAACTCGGTGTAAAGTTTAAGTGACCTGTCTGGCATAGCCTGCGTTCCCAATGGCAGATAAACAGATATAAATGAGCTTCTCGTGTGCTTGGTGCTGCCATATTTGTTCGATGAACAGCATGTATTAGAGTGGAAGCGCGAGCGAAAAGTCACCACTGAATTCTTCTCCTTGTTTCTGTATCTCAGACATATCAAGAAGAAAGTTAAATGCCAACCCAATCCAACAGCGACGTAGAAGTGAGTGTTGCTAAGCCCGGGGAGTCTCAAGTTCAGAAGGGAAATATTGCTCTGGAGGTGAAGACGCGAGGGTCTGTATCGAGGTTGAACTGACGAACTGCATATTTTCGACAGATGGCCAAATACTGAATGCAAGGGATTTCAACCAACTTCTCAGTCGTCTTCATTTAACTATTTTAAGCGAACAGAAATGGTCAAATGGGCACATGCGACTTGAACGAGAGAGTTGATTGGAGTTGGTATCAATATAATCTGTTGTAAAAAGCCCAGCTGCGTCAAGCGATTGAGCGACGTTGGCAGATCCCACAACCCGATCATAACATCTTCGCCTTACCCGGTAACCTTCCATGTTCCAATACCTGCAAATCCCTATCGCTTATAACAGAGACATCTGGGGTGCATAGAACTGCATATGTACGTAAACAACCCTGCTCTGAGTTGAAGAGGATGTGGTTGCCATTGGACTGATATTACGGCTTTTAGTACTTACTGTTGGCTGTTGGTTCACCATCAATCATCCTTGCTGCGCCAACATCAAACTGTTATACAAACCTCTTCTTATGAGAACCTCCTCACAATATTTCCACATCGTTTCTATCCATCTGCGAATTCAAATCAGTTTTCGGAAGCAAGTCTTCCACGCGAAAAGCAATGTCCCCCCCAATGTACACAGATTTTCCTCTGGCGGTGATACCAACCCCAAAATATGAAACAGGAAAGGCGAGTAACCTATAACTGCCTTCCCCATTAAAACTATACGATCAGTAACTGACAGATTGAACAGACCGATCCATTTACCCTCGAAGCCTCTCACATGGCATTAAGCCACAACGCATTCATACGCGGATTCAACAGTATCTATCAACAAGCACCACGTGTCGAAGCAGCAGACAAAAAAGATTTCGTAGGCTACTGCATTGCCTGGCATGATTGCGTCGCGCAGCACCATCATTACGAGGAAACTGAGTTCTTTCCAGCACTAGACAAAGCAGCAGGGAAGCTGGGATTGATGGATGGAGCCGTGGAGCAGCATGGTGCGTTCTCCCTTACCCAGAACGGAATTTTGAGTTTAAACTGACGGTGAAATAACAGCTCAATTCCACGACGGCCTCGAGAAATTCAAAACCTACCTCCAAGAAAACGGGCCCGACTTTTACGGCACAGAACTAATTTCAATCATGGACTCCTTCTCCCACGCCCTACACGAACATCTCAAAGAAGAACCACCGACAATCGTCGCTCTCTCAAAGTATAACACCCCCGAAACACCGATCGATATCATAGGAATCGCGTTGGCGGCAGGGAAGAAACAGGTGAGCGTGGGCTTTCTGTTTAATGTTTTGCCAGTTTACTTTTTGAATATGGAGAGTAAGGAGTTTGAGGGTGGGATGTGGCAGGCGGCTTTTCCGCCGGTTAGTGGACCGGTGAGGTGGGTTATGATGAAGGGGGCGCCGATGTGGAATTCGAGGGCTTGGAGGTTTGCGAGTTGTGATTCGGAGGGGGGGTTTAAACGGTTGGAGGTGTGATGGGTGGGCGCGTTGATATGAATGAGGACAATATCAAGGTGTCATAATGCGAATATTTTGGTGGCATATGCTTTAGGAAATAAGAATAAAAGGAATTGTTGGAATCACCGACTCTTGTGCTGCAATATGATGCCCTTGAACAACAACGTCGAGCAACCGTAGAGCATTCCTATCCACATTCCTTAAATGCCTATCTTTGAATTCGTTACTACTGCGTCGGACCGATGCATCATAACGCTGACAATCCAATCCTAGAATAGGGTATACCCAAAAGGTCAAATCCCAACTCCTTTGTAAAATAACAAGTAAGTTCGTCTTCATACCAAGAACAACCATCTCTTCTCATCTACACCGTACATACATCATGCATGACTCTCTCACGCAAATCACTCCGTGGTAACCTCAACCCATTCCATATACCCCATCTCCATAACAACTCGAACTTTCCACATTCCAACTCAACCTGCCAAGTCCCTCCAAAAACAACCACTTCAAATCTCTGAACCCCAAAGAATTCTCAAAATAAAACCTCCACCTCATCCTCTCTTCAAACCAAAAATCGGTTTTCAACAACCTCCTGATCACCACTTGATTTTCTGGAAATATCCGTGAGAAGTCGGAGAATGAAAATAATTCAACACCAACTCACACTATCACTCTGCCTCCAATCACAAATCCAGACACGCAACACATCATCTCATATCATCAACTGAGGCTATAGAAAACTATCTATAAAAAAATCAATTCCCGTTGCCGCATGAAGCCGTGACGTTCCAAACCAGCTATAACATTCTTCGTTCCAAGCTCAATCTCGATCATAAACAAATCCGTGAAAGAACAGTACTCTCAGTAAAGCGTCCCAAACCCGCGAGAAAGGAGTCAAAAAGCTAAAATCTCCAAGAAAAGTTGCGTTCTTGACACCGCTAGCTACCTAACACACAGCGACTTTCAGTTCATTGTTCTGAATCTAGTCAACTTACCTCTTCTAGGTTCTTGACAAAATATTGTCGTTTTATGACTCCCCCTTCTGTCCACAGCGCTATCACTTTTAATTATAGCAATACATCGCATGAAATCCGTGATTCGCACTGCGGTCTGCATCATCAGGTCCTGTCACGTCAGGAGACTCTGAGCCATGAAAACATTCTATGGAAGACTTCATCCGTGTCTTAGAGTTATATTTCTAGTCTGCCCATGACAGAGTTTGATGCAACACCCGGAAACCAGTGGGTTAGATATTGGTCTGTTGTTCTAGGATGAACTCTTTAATCTGCTTTCTCCGAGTGGGAGAACGTGATACTACCTCCATTAGAAAAGGAAATTAAAAGATTGACATCCTAACGTTGCCATCGATTTCACTTGGAAGAAAAAAACTAATCTACACCCCCATGCTTAGATGTCAACCTGTATTTTAGCATCCACCTCAGAATCCTATTACGATTTCTGATGATTCTACAAATGCTTTCCATTCTAAATTTTTGTCGCCAAAAAAAAAAAAAAGAAAATCCTCAAATATCTGGAAATTCAGCATATGAAGGAAAATAAAAGAAAGGACCAAGTATTTTTATATGGTGTAACAACTATTCTTATCCAAATAGAATTTACTTCCCAAGCGCAACAAATTTCATGAACTAGAGTAAGAAGTGTTACAAACCGATTTTGGGTTTATAAATATTATTTGCGGGCAGAGTTGTCGTCTCGCGGTGGACAATAAAGGGGCAGCCGAAGCACAATTCCTTCTCAAGATATTCAATGAAATATCGTACATATTAGACATCACTTTTCGTAAATCACGAAATCATGGACAGTGTTTGAAAATCAAATCATCAAGATGAAAGTATATCAGACACCAAATCTCAATTTATGTTCTAATATGTATTAAATATGTATATGTCTACACCCGACCCGCTCAAAACAACCCCATAACTCAAACAACCTTCTCAGTATTCGCAACTTGAGCCGGTGTCGTTTCCGATCCCTCATTAGAATGTTTTTGCGTCACAGCACCGAGTCCAGGATCGTAGTTGTCAGTTCTATCACGAGTTAGCATTCAACAATATGTCTCAAAGAAGATGAAGACTTACCCAGGAACCTCGCCAGCCAACTCCTCAAGCGTCTTCCTCTTTGTCTCAGGAATCAAGAATGAGGTAAGAAGACCACATAACATGAAAAGAGCAAAGATCTCCATGATGTGGTTCAACCAAGGGGTACTATCTCTACCCTTGGCACCGGGTACCGCACCCTTCGTTCGAAGAGGCCCGAAAACGACTTGCGCGATGATGGCACCAACCTTTCCGGATGCGGCGGAGAAACCGTGGGAGGTGGAGCGGTAACGGGTTGGGAAGCATTCTCCCGGTACGATGAAGGTTGTGGAATTAGGACCGAAGTTGAAGAAGAACTGGGCGACGACGTAGAGTCCGAGGAGCGCATTACCGGATAATTTATGGTATGCGAAACCGATGACGACAAAGAGGATGGTAAGCATGGTGAAGCCCATGATCTGAATTGGTTTACGACCGAGTGTGTCGATGGTAGCGACCGAGACCCAGTATCCAGGAATGGCACCGGCACAGACGAGAATCAAGTTTCCAACAGCATTCTTGTAGAAAACTTCGTACATGTTGTTTCCGCCAGAGTAACCAATTGCGGTGAGAATGATGGAGTTGTTTAGACCGAGACCGTAATATGCCACATCAAGGAAAAACCAAGAACCAGCTGTGCCGAGGAGGACCTTTCCGTGTTTCCATTGCCCATAGTGGTGGAGGAAGTCGCGCATGGAGGCCTTTGGGATTTGGAGGTTCTGAGATTGTTGCTGCATTGCAGTTACCCGAGTGATCTCATCTGGATTGCCGGAGGCTTTGCCGTGCATGTAGGCATTGGCGTCTGCGGCGGCAGTCTCGACATCGCGAGCTACATCGAAAGTGTAACGTGGAGTTTCCGGGATGGTAAGACGGTAGTAGAGGGCGATACAACCGGGAACTGCACCAAATCCGACGATGATACGCCACATCTTGTCGACGGCGAGTTGGCAGACACCAGTACAGGTGGAAGCCTTGGAGCCGGTGATGAGGGACTCTTTGAACCCCGCGGTAACGATCAAGGCCATGATGGCGGCGACGAATTGACCAATACCTTGCATGGCGAAGACTGCATTCATCATCGCGCCTCTCCATTTGGTGGTAGCAAACTCGGATGTGATGATGGAAGATAATGGGTAGTCACCACCAATTCCAATACCCTGCTGTCGTCAGTACACAGTTACTTTTTCATGATTGTTACACTTACCATAAGCACACGCCAGAAAATTAGCAAACCGGTGATCGAGACAGCATGAGATGGTGAGGAGAGTGCCTGGGCCAGGGTGGCAAAAATAATAATGATCAACTCCAATCCGTACATCTTCTTACGGCCAACCACATCAGCAAGATAACCGAAACCAAGTTGGCCAAGAACAGTTCCACCAGAGGTTGCGACTTTGATAGCGGTATCTGAGTTTACAGGAATCGTGCCTTTTGATACTTTGTTCTGGAAGAAAGCTATACCCAACATGGCAGTCACCAAGTTGATAGCAAAGATCTATGTTTCTGTCAGCTACTATAGTTTTACATTTCTCAGTCGTTAGTTGAATGCTTACATCGTAGGAATCAGTGAAGAAACCAATACCTGCAACAACGCAGGCTCGCACGTGGTACCATCCGAACGGAGCTTTGTCAATCTCAGCAAGAGCAAGTCGTCGTCTCTCATTTGGATCCTGGATATGGGCAAAGTCGTTATGGAAGTTGTGGAACGCGGCGTTACCACCAGCGGTCTTGTTTGCGGCAGCGGTAGCCATTGTGGTGTAAGTGTGTATTGACAACTAACTATGAAGTCGGCAAGCTAATCCGGAGACAACGAGATCACCAGTCGTCAGCGAGGGCGGAAGCTTGTAAATGAGTGCTTGACTACCTTCTCAAGAGAAGGCTGAACTCGAGGGGACACCAGGGTCTCTTATATTTGTCGACTGTGAATCGAATCGAGACTAATGTGGTACGCTAGCAGCTAGGAGGACAAGGTGGGGTTGTTGTCGCCGGGGTGAGACAAAATGGAATTGTGGCTTCGGGCGTGGAAGTCAGCTTCAGAAACACTCATCACTGGTCGATGGATGTATTTCTGGCTGGATAATGTGGGTTCTCAAGTGTCCGAGGTCAACGTGCATCGATCAGGGTCTGCCGATACGCCAAGGTCCAGAGTTGCATTAGACAAGCACCCCCGAAAACTCGCTTAAGGCTGCTTGCGATTTGGCAAGCCAGTTGTATCAGTTGCAACCTGACGGAGGTGCCCGCAACAATATCGAAATGCGCCTGCGTATACCACCTGTAGTCAATAATAGTCTCTCAAGCGCCAGCTATCTGTGGTTCTAGATTTATTATGGAGCAGTGAATGATTTCGAACGACGCCGGCGTAATACTAGCCGCAGCCCGAGATTCTGGTTCCCACGCCAGAGCTACGCTTCCGGGCCAACTTTCTCATCAACCTCATCAAATAAGTGCCCAGGAAAGCCAATAGTATTCAAGCATTCTGGACCGTGGGCAAGAAGGATCACCAGCAGAATACAAGAAGCCAATTTGATGATGCCATTGGTTTTTCTTTTCTCCTGTGGCGTATGCGTATCTTTCTGTCATGAAGGAGATCCTGCATCCACTATCTGATTGAGGCGACGAAATGAAAATCCAGTAAGAACTCTTCCTAGACCAGTCTCCCACCGAGGCACGCCCGAGTGCATGTTTATACGATGGATACCCAGGTAGATAGGGCCGCAGACAATATGAATCGATGCACACGTGGGTTCGTGAGAACCCAAACCCAGGGATGACAAGCTGTACCTTTCCACGAAAGGAAGACTTCCAGAACTCGAACATTCACCCATGTTTGAGTTTGAGGCGACTCCGAGCGATTACTGGTCATTCCGGATAGCAGTTGGCTAAGGAAGTAGTCCTTTCCCATGGAATGGTAAGGCTTATTAAGGATGTCGAGCGTCCTGCAGCCAAAGAAATGGAAACGTGTCCCAGACTTCGGGATCGCCTTTGCGTGAATAAGGGTACCTGTTTGAGCCTTCTCGAGTCTTTTGCGCATAAAGGGGGTGTTGAAACAAGTATTTCGCCTTCAATTAACAGCCTTCAAATCCAACGACGTTGACTTGACGTCGACATCCTCGATATTGGCATACGCCACCCTCGTGCGGTGGCATTGCTTGTCCGAAGATCTGAATATATCCGAGAGACAAGAGAAGTCTTGGGCGTCTTGGAAAGAGCTTATATCACGGCTGTTGTCGATGTGTCTCTTGGCCCGTTGGATGAAGCAATTCCCAACATCCGACAATCTACTTGACGCTGCACAACAGTCTGGGCGTTGGTAGCACACCCAATAGATACACATGCAGACGATCCTTTCCGGAAATATTGCTACTTGCGCCCGAGGTTGCAAAGGAGGCGTCGAGAGCTGGGAACATGGTGAAGATGGCGAGAGGAAGATGGACGAAGAGATGTCGTTGGATGTCGGCCAATGAGAAACCTCGAATCAAACATGTGTTTGGTGGATTTGACGAGAGACGTTTAAACCCCTGACGCCCACAAAATCTCTGTTGATCAATGGGCGGGACGGGAGCTAACCTCTTTGGTGGCACCACCCAGATCAGGTGACGAGCTGAAGTGATGTCACATGATCCGAATCTCTCCATCTTCACCTGATTGAAACCCGACTTCGCAGAGGACACAACAAGGTTTTACTTCGTTCAAAAACCTTGTCTCATGAGCAAAATTAGCGAATGGATGATATTTGTCATATCAATCACACGACCATTATGTTCGAAGCCAACTCCACACTAACGACCAATTTATCAGGAGAACAGAAAACGTTAGTAGCTTTGCCAACAATACACTATCTCCAGGAATTTCTTCGGAAGGACGCAGTGGTGAAAGCATCCAAGTTTGAAATTCAAGCATCTTGTGAACACCTTGGGAAGCGTAAGTTACTTGCCATTCTATATGCAAAGAGCAAATCCCAAACTGAAATCATTCTTTTAAAAGTACACTATCATAGAAACAGGACCTGCTAACTTAAACCTACCGTTAAATCCATCAAAATTCCCTCATGGTCAATAAGCAGTTAGTCAACTCACGCCCCTGGAAGCTGCTCCCAAGGGCTCTCAATCATATGCCAGAAATCCTCAGCATATTCATAATACGCCGCCTCGATATGCCACCAATCCCATTCTTCTATCGTCGCTCCATAATTGAAGCCAAAGCTCTTTACATAAACTGGGGATAATCCTGCACCTGGATTCCAATAACGGACCCACACCTCTACCTTCCAATCATATCCAGTTATGGTTCTATCGCTTTTCCCCAATACTTTCATTTCGTCTTCAGAAAAGGCAAGCAGATCTAAACCTGCCGAGACTAGACACTCAAGCACACGTTTCAACGCACTCTTTCTTTGAAGCCCACGGTAGCAGCAAAGAGAGAACGATAGGTAAGTGAAGGATCGGTAAGTATTTGCCTTGCTGGCAAAGGCTCGCGGGTGGAGACAAACACCTAAACGGATTGCGTCTGTCAACAGTTCGTACCACACTTGAAACATTTCCATATTTGCAGGCCCATATCTGGAGTCAGCGAGACCATAGAGGATATTTAGCACAAGGTACGCATCAAAAAACGACTTATCGATTGAAATCCTAGCAAGATACAGTCGAATGGTTTTTGGACCAACCAGGTCACCGATCGCTAGTGAGGCCTTAACATAACGCTTTATGTATTCTGCTACTTCCGAAGGAGGAGTCCATGCCTGTTGGATCACGAGGTTCACCATCTCTGGGTTTACACCTAAATATAGAAACCAGCTGTAAGAATTCCATGTACTGAAGTCAAAAGCCTCCATCGAAATCTCGTCCAGATCATCTGTTGAGTATAAACGCAGAAATTTGCTTGCATTAACACAATTCCGAGGACCGATCGCTTGATTTAGCGGAGGACTCCACTCCTTTAGCATGTCTGGACTGAGAAATCGGTACCAATTATCGACATACCTCTTATCTACATCTGTTGCCAAGCGATCAGCGCCATTCTGAACCAAGAATTGGCACGCGTGAAACTGAAATTTGGAACCAGCATACTAGGTTTGTCAGATGACATCCAAATGTGAAGGGCAAGCAACAGACTCCCCAAAAATTACACGAAGAGCTTACATGTAAGGGAGTTCTACCACGATCATCGCGATCAAACGGAGTTGCCCTGCCCGATGAAAACAGTTGTTTCAGGCCCCGAATGTTCCCTTCCTCGGAGTATCGAAACACGGCATGTGAGGGAGGGAGAATGTTGTGAGATCGGAGAGCAAACTTGCAAGACCAGGAGTCTTGAATCTTGTGAGCTTCATATACCTTACCAAACAGCCAGGAGGGAGTAGTAAGTCGAACTGTGAGCTCTTCAACAGTCCCAACCTTGGAATCATGATAACTTTTCGTCCTAGAATAGTTAATGGCTCCAAATATGTAGCCAAGAGCGGAGGGCAATTCCTGTGTTCTGATTCGTGTCGACTTTGAACTAGGAGGTCGTGTCGAAGTGCGCGTCAGCGCACCGTCCACATTAAGGGAAGTCACTTGCTGAGATATCTCTTGACGGATAATGTCTGCCATGGCACTAGAAGAACTCTCGATTTTTCTCTCTATGTGCTCTTTGAGCTCTTGGACGTGTACCAATGTTGAAACCTGCTGACAATATACTTTTTCTGCAAGTATACTTTGACGATATGGTAAGCAAACGGAATAAACGAACCCAACATGGGTTATGCACAGACTTACTTCGTCTGAGTCGAGAGAAAGACATTCAAAGTCGCTTTCTCTACCTCCAATTGTCTGCTGGCAGCTTCGAGACTCTTCTGACTAGACGCATATTGGAATCGCCCTCGTTTCGGCTTCTGCAATAGAGTCTTCTCAATCTTCTGAGTAATCTCCGCCAGCCTCCTCGCAGCTTGTCGGCAATTATCAACGCTCGGAGACAGCTTGTCGTGTCGCCCGGCATGACCCCCAAGCTCCTTGTCCTTCGACTCAACAATCTTCAGAATACGTTCGACTTCCTCAATGCCAGATATGAGACGGCGCAGCTCATCAGGGGCACTCTTCATCGAGTCTGCGAAGTTCTTCAATTTGATGAGGCTGTCGGCGATTTGTATTGCGAAAGACAGCACTCCTACACCTATGCCTACCGCTTCCGCCATGGCTAGTCTCGGGGTGTGATCGACGGGTATCTTTGGTCTTCCGAGCAACGACAAGAACGATACGGGTCTTGATGACTGGCATCAAGTGATGAAGATGAAATGAAGAGTTCCATGTCGAAATCGAGTTCTCGAGTCGATGTCGATTGCGCATTTCGCTCACTGGATAAATGCGCATACACAGCCTCGACGAATAGGGTAGCTGCAGGAGAACGTGCAGAAGAGGTGAGAAGTTTGTGTTGGAAAACAAGACGATGCTCCAGTAAGAAGCAAACGTTGGTAGGTCTTGACGAATGAAGTTCCGGCGGTCTCTGCGCATTAGACGCAAGTGATATAGAGGTCGTGCCTTCCTCGTCGCTGCCATCTCGCTTGCATGTAATGTGACCATCTTGTCGTGAACCTAGAAGGCAATACAGGCATAAATGGTTCAGTCATTGCATTCTAGAAGAAAGTTGTTAGCAGACTTTACATGGTTTTGGCTGGTGTTTGTCAAAGAATCTTATCGTGTATGTACAACAATTCTAACTTGAACAACTCCCTAGCCTCATGGAGCTAGCTTTCTGCGAAGCGAACATCTGCAAAGGCCAAATCTACTTATCCTACAGCTTCGAAATATGAAAAATGCCTTACACGTGTTTTATTGTCGAGTTTATCCATCTTTCATTTCCTCGCGCTCAAACTTTGCGGCATCTGTACATGTTTGGAATAAAGTGTAAGCACGGGTTCTTGACTTTAAGTATGCTTCATGATATCGACAGTAACTATCCAGATCAACCCAACCGTCATCGAGGTGATAACTCATGGAAAAGCTTCTAGTAGCAAGGGTCCACCGAGGTCTACCACAATGTACAAAGAGATATACCAAAGTTCTAATGCAGTGCAGAGAAATGGTTGGGCATCCCAAAGCCTTCCATATTGACACCAAACCCCTCGCTGATGAATACAACCCTAATATTACAGATTCCCGAACGCCGCACTAAGCTTTCATCAGCTAATGCACCCAGTTAAACAATTCTAGTATGCCAGATCCGTTATTTCGCCGCCTCGGCTTCCGGATTCCTATCCACCATCTCATATTCCCCAGCGCCATCTCTACCGCGCCCTCTCCCTCGACCCCTCCCATAGCCTTGTTCTTCATCGCCTGCCTCCCCAGTATTTGGTGACGCTGCTGTTTCTGAACTCGAGGGTTGCGCCGCACTCGAACCACCAAATGTAATAGGCCGTAATTCTCTCCACTGACAGCTCCAAACCCCTAAACTCGTCATCATGCCTGCGCTTACTACTTGAAGCGCCCACCATAGCCAGTTCCGCGGTATTGAATGCGAGTAAAACGATGTTACCAGGAGGTGGATTACGTGGAGGGTTATGGCGAAATCGGGGACTAGTTTCGAGCGGGCTATGAAGAAGAGGATCGCAATTACACTGTACATGGTGTTAGCATATTGTAATTTGGGACTTTGCCTAGGACTCTTGCGCGCAACAGCGCTCCAGTTCAAGAGAAGGGGGGGAAATACCCAATAAATGAATTCAACAACCACACCAGCCCCAACATCCATCCAACTGTTGTGTCCCCTCTCAACCGTCTCCAATCAAGCACCATATCTAAATTAAAATGTCGCCCTGCTACCAGCGCTGTGAAGAGGATGAGAGCGAATGCGACTGTATAGTATATCGTCTGTAAAAGGAGGATTTGAGAGAGGATCTTGAGTGGTGGGAGTTCGGTGAGGGCGCCCGGACGGGGGGGACGTCGTCGTCGCGCCATATTTTTGAGATTTCAAAAAGGGCTATGGCGGATACATTTGTGTGATATGTTGTGTTGTTTATTTCGTGGGATTTCTGGGGATGATGCTAGATTGCAGGCTAGGAGACGTGATGTGGGCGGTGAGTGAATTTCTGCCGGATGTGGTGATTATTTTGACTGGGATGTTGGAGTTGAGGGGATGAGCTTGTTCATTAACGATACTTATTCAGATCAACATAACTCAATATCTGCGAATATAGTGATTGTCAGGTAGGTGATAGGACCATTCCTATGAATCATGTTTCCAATTGGGTTCTAACGAATCTGTCTTAGTCAGGAACACCACTTCCACTACTGCGCTCGAACGATACCTACCCGACGACCATCAAATCCAAATTTCATCTGAACTTAAAGTCCATTGTCCCCCTTACTTCAAGATGGGACTATTCGGTTCTGCCCCAGCAACACTACCACCTCCCAAGATCTCCTCAGACGGCGCGCCAATAGCTCCAGACCGAACCCAACGAGCGAAGTGCTGGGAAGGAAGAGATGCATATTTCAGCTGTCTAGACAAGAACAATATCATCGATAGTATAACAGAGAAAGATAAGGCTGAGAAGTTTTGTTCAGGAGAAGGAAGGAAGTTCGAGGCGAATTGTGCTAGTAGTTGGGTGAGTTTTTCCTGGACGGTGGCGAGACAAGTGGAGAGGATGAAGCCGCGATTCCTGGATTGGCGATCAAAACGTGATGGCATTTTGCTAATCTATCTGTAGGTTACATATTTCAAGAAAAGGAGAGTCATGGAACATCAGAAGAACGAGACTCTTGAGAAGCTCCGAGCCGAGGGCGCAAAACAGGTGCCCGGCGAGATGGCACCTCCTGGAAGCTTTGGACAGAGGCCATGAGGATGATCACTGGGCTTTGAGATGTAGAAATATTGTAAAAATGCTGGGAAACGAGGTATTGCATATGGGAAGGCGTTCTTAATCAAATCATCTCCTCACCTATATCCAGATAAAGCACTCTCCTAGGATTCGTCGTAATGTTCCCTTGTGATGTAGTTTCTTACCGCGTTTACTTGTAATACTCATTGACGTTCGACAATTTCCCGGTTCGATCGAAAATTGTAGGACACTTGTGTTTATTCATTTGCGCTGACTCTCTATAGTTCATGTATCCGCCCCTCTCGCTATACAGATAACTTCCAATCTCTACCCAATCCCACACCACCAGCACCCTCACCAAACCCCTCTCAAAATCTCAACCTCACTCTGCAACTCCCCCACCCTAATCTTCGAGACCTCCATCATAACCTGCGAAACAGCCAACTGTCTATTCAACCACCCAACATACAACCCCATCACAAAAATGAACATCGTCGGTACCCACGCCGGAAACTTAGGCACCCGACACTTCTCCCCGTTCTCAGCATCTTTGCACTTCGAAGGACCTTGCCATTCCGGCTTTTCCCTCTGGATTGTGTTGCCAAGTGGCGATGGCGGTGCTGGCGTCGAGCGCTCTTGCGACGCTATTGGCGGACTTGAGTACGGATGCGTGTTTTTTGTGGTGGGGGCAGGTGGTGCGTAAACATTTCTTATGCATTGGAAGTTTGCGAGGGCTTGTCTCCGAAGGTCGTTCGAGTTTGAGTTTAGTGTTGGTGTGGTGGCCGAGACCGTTCGGATTGATCTGCTGAAAAGCTTCTGGAGCATGTTGGCTGAATTGCGGGTAACAAGTATTCAATGTCTGAGTGATTGTGAAAGAATGTTTAATTGTTAAGTATGATATGGATTGGGTTGTGGCGATGTTGATGTTGCATTGGATTGGACTGAGAAGACTTTGGAGGCAATGGCCTTGGGTTGGCCTTGGGGTAGCTGCTGTTCGTTCTTTCCCTTCGTTGGAGTAGTGCAGTTTCGAATGTTAATCATAATTGGTAACCTCTCATGTAAGCTTAAGCTACTTACCTACCAACGGATGGATTTCTTGTCTTGGACTAACGAACGTTAAAATAGGCTTTCAGCACATCACACTCATGGACTATGTGCACAGGTAGCTACCTAAACCGAACATTGTCTCATATCTTCTTTTGGTCAGCTCCTTTCATTGAACTTTAATTCTCTTTAATGTTTGTTACCGGGCACCACGTAGGGAGTGTTATTCTTAAACATATTGAAACTTTCAATGGAAATTTCCGTCGGTCTTATTGCAAGGTATTTGGACATTCTAGCATTCAGCATTGTACATGTGAATGTACGTGTACGCGGTGCTTTCGATTTACAGGTATGATCTCTCCCCCTTCTCTCTGGAACCTGACCACATCTCATGTCCAGGCCCGACAGGTAGCCCATCAACCTCTATTCCATCCGGATTGGGGCTGAAAACTTGTGTCCCGCTGGTGCTCATTCTGTGCAATCTTGGTCTATGTGAGATAGGTGGCGGAGTCGTAATTGTGTTGTTGTATCCAAGCGGATCTTTAGGAATGGGATGAGAGGGGTCGTTACTGAGATATGTGGGAGGCAAGCTATCCTCAACTGGTGTCGCAAGTGCACTTCCCGCAGTGCTAAACGTGTTTCGTTCACTTCCATCTGGATTGGGACTTGACCTGCGGCTGAATTCCTCGGGCGTACAAACTTCAGATAGGCCGCTTTTACGTCGTCGATCTTTCGGAATCCTCATCGTGGAGGTCTGGAATGCTGGAGGAGCTTGCATAGTCCTCAACTGAAATTCGGCAGTATTGGGAACCTTTCCCTTAGCCATCACTTTCGACGATGACAACGTTGGAGGTAGTCCAATAACTGATCCAGGTGTACTAGGATATCCGGCTGTGTAGTAGATGATTGGGGTTGGTGGCGGCTGTAAGGGAGTGGAAGGCGTTGCCGCATCCGTGTGTACTTGTAGATGGTCAACATGATTATGAACAATGAGCGCTGCTGCTGCTTCAACCGCCAAAGAGTCCGAAAGCTCCTGGGTTGGACTTGCTTCTGCTGAGGTCAGCCAAGTCATGCGCTGTATTCCATCCGGTGTAAGAAACACACTGCATGGAGTGTTGTAATGCGTTGTACATTCTTCGCTGCCCGAAATTGTGCCCTTTCCAAGCTTGCTGCGGCAACTTCCCCCTTCGCTCTCCTCCCAGTATGGCCTCGAAAGGCGACGTTCCTTTTCTGCCGGAGAGTACCCACTTGCTGGAGAGGTGTTGTGCGGTCCGCTGTCAAAGCTACTATATATCTCTCCTCTTTCTTGCGCTCTTCTTCTTCTCAACCTTCCGTCATCGCTCATTGTACTCCTCCCAGACTCTGAAGCCTCGGACATGCGTTCGCGAGGAGTACCAGTATGGTGCGGAGAATGCGGAACTCTTGATAGCTTGCGTCTGAAGGTTCGCCAACGTTTGACGACAAGCTCTTTCACAGGCTGCACAAATACCGGGCGAGGTTCTGATCGAAGAACTGGCTGTAGTCGGAAGCCTGACTCTCGTAGTTGCTTGATCGAACCCCGGCTCGCGCGAGTTGAAGAATGCAGACTTTCATCCGGTGAAGCCATCATATCTTCTGTACGTTTCCGACCATTTTTAGACCTCCCACGTCCAATCCCAAATACCTTTCCATCTTCTGGCAAGACTGGTAGTGTTAAGGATCGGGAAACTGCTTGACGGAGGCTATTGCGTCTGTACCATGCCTTTGTAACGGCATTAACATCGCGATCGATAGTGTTTCGCCGAGGCACGTAATCTACATCGTCGATTGCGAAGGAGGAATTCGACACTTCTGAATTGTCTGGAACTCGGCGGTTTTTGCCTTTCCCGAAATTGAAATCGTCATTCACTGACTCCCAAGGAAGGACTTCCGATGCTTCCGCAGGAGGTGACGGGGTTCCATCATAAAAACCATGCCACACTTGTACGGGAGAAGGATTGCGAGCCTCGTGACCAAAAGAAGGCGAGTATCTATACTGACTGTGTAGCCGTAGCGAGCTGATCATCTGAGAATCCGATACGGTCTTTTTGCTATTTCCTCCAGGAAGCACGCTCTTGCAATGCATCTGCGTAAACTCATTCGGTAAAGTGAAGCAGGATCCAAGAAGTTGAACCGCAATCATATGTGCCATAGTATTCAGATCTTTTCCATCTTCGAGGATCATATCGGACGAGTCGCTGCCACGTTCTTCAAGCATCTCTCCAGAACCATCTCCGGACCGAAACTCTTGTTCGAAATCGTTGTCGAAACGTAACTTTTTGCGAGTTCGCTTTCTTCTGGCTTCATCCGACCAGCAATACGGTCTCCCTGATTTACAGACATAGTGCCATTCGGAAATCTCCTGACTGATCACCCTCCATGCCAAACGGTCTGCCTTCTCGTCTTCGGTTGCTCTAGTATCGATCGTGGTTCCAAGAGATTTGACGTCCAGATGGTTTACATGAGTTGAGGAGCGACTTCCTTTCTGGCTCGACTTGCTTTTGGGCGCCATATAGAGTACTTGGCTATCGGTTGACATCCTGTCTTCGGAAGTGCCAGCACTGGCGCGAGATGTGGAATGCCTTTTTAACTGTGCTCGACATCCGGTATATTCTCTTCGGCGCGCGAGTTTTCGAAGATTGATGGCGCTATGGACCTTCTGTAATGACTGAGGTATATGAGTGCTGGAGTTTGATTTATGGTGGGTAATGAAGTTCATAGTGATGTCAACAATTTATTATTGAGTAGGTGAGGGAATTCATTGACGAGTTCCCCAATTTTGAAGTGGTGGTAGGTGTTCGATGTTGTCGTATAATTCAAGGTTGGGCTTGGTGTATGAAGTGACAGCCTGGATCTCACCCTATCATGGCCATCTCTCAATCCTGCTTTGCTCTTTCCCTCGACACTTGTTGGTGGTACACGCCCGGTGTCACGTGGAAACGTAACACTGCCGGGAATGCCCTTTTAAATTAAATGACACAAGATTCACAAGGTCAGAAGAAATCAAAATCCCCGAGATAAATCTTTCGGGGCTTGGTTCTGGACATATGAATTGATCGATTATTGGACGCCACACCGAAAACAGAATAACTATCACGTGCTAGTTGTAATTCTCGTAGTCGCATGTCCGGTGTCCGGTGCTTACCGAGCAATAATCATGCGCTAGTACGACGTCCTAGTATGTCGTCCTTCTTTCCGCACGAGCTTCAACAGGGTCCTAGTTCGATCAATGCGATGTTATTAACCTCTTGTCCATGGTCATGAACTACATGCGCCAAAGTCTATCAGTTCGAAGTGCCCGACGCCCACGGCCCCTCCTCGCGGTGCACAAAATGAGTGGCAGTCGAAACACGATATTGCTTCGATTAAGTTGACGAAATACCGTATATTTAGTGGATTGACTTGTAGCATTATCACATACTTCGTCAATGGTTTTAAATAAATAGGAGTTCTGAATATCATCCACTTATCCTCTTGAACATTGCGAGCCGCCACTGAAGAACAACCGAGTCAGAATGGGACTATGTCAAGCATGCAAATCCATACCATCCAGCCTATTCACGAACCCTCCAAACAGCAAGCCGCAGTCATGGCATCTGCATCATCCTTCCTACCAAAGCTTGGAAAGGTCGGCCAGCGCCGGTTGCGTTTTGTGTGGATTTATATATGCCAAGATATCCCCAATCCAACGACTTGGTCCGCATCCATGCTTCGAAGTGGTTGGATACGATCCGATACTATTTCCTCAACGGCGAGAAAATGCATGGAAAGACGATAGAATATTTTTGCATTTGGCCACACCTCATTATCGGCCATCGGCGCCCTCTGGCAAAATTCTCGTGTGCCGATGTGGCGAGTACGGAAATGTTTTCAATTTCGACCTCGAGTACTCGGGGGATATTTTGTCAAGTACCTTGTACCCGAAGGGTCACGGTGCAGTATCACTTATAAAATTCTGGCTTGATGCTTGCTTTGACTCGCATATTAACTGCGCAGTCCTTTACGATAATGGCTTCATGCCGTCTAGGCTTATTGATGTGGGCTCTCATAGTCAGAACTTTATATGCCTGAAAGACTCATTCCCTTCTTCAAAGCTAATATCCTCTCGGTATCTGACTCTCAGTCATTGTTGGGGACGAAATATGCCTGGATCTGCGAAGACAACCATGAAAAATTACGATGATCATCTTCGCCGAATCCGTATAAGAAACCTCCCTAGAACATACCGAGATGCGATAAGTCTAACCCGAAGACTGGGATATCGATATGTTTGGATTGACTCGTTGTGCATCATTCAAGATTCTCCTGCAGATTGGACTCGAGAATCGGCCGCAATGGGCAAGATTTATTCTCACAGTTTCTGCACACTGGCTGCTGCTGCCTCCAACGATTGTCACGGAGGTCTGTTTCCTTTGCGCAAGGAGTTGCCGATCTTTCAACTGGAAGATTCAGCGACAGGGGCCAAAGGCTCCTCATTTGTTCTTGTAAAGCAAGCCTATCAAGGATGGGACGAGCTTTTTGACTCAAGTTCTCTTAACGTTCGAGGCTGGACTCTACAAGAGCGAGAGTTAAGTCCAAGGATTGTCTATTTCACGAAACATACCCTTTTATTCGAGTGCAGAGAGACAAGGGGTAGTGAATGTGGTGGATATAAGGCCAACTCTCTAGGGAGGTATGCCAGTGAGCGGCCAGATTGTCAGATTCATCCTGGGTATATTTTGACGGCCAAAACGTCTATAGAGAAGACCGATACACGGCGGTGCATGGACACGCTTCCATTGGACTCAAATCCCCAAGACAAATCAAGGCGCCTTCTTAACAAACGATATCAGACATGGCGTGAAATGGTGCAAAGATATTCGGCAAGGGATCTTACGATTGCAAGTGATAGATTCCCAGCGTTATCTGGATTAGCATCGGAGATGTCATATCTTCTAAATGATGAATACATTGCTGGCCTCTGGAGGAATGAAATAAAGAGTGGCTTATGTTGGACTTATCCGTTGACACACCAGATTGGAAGCGCTCGGCAGACCAACTATGGCCCGTCATGGTCATGGGCAGCGACCACCGCTCCTATTTCATATGAGCTCGTAAATCGAAATGAGAAGGGTCAGCCAGTCCGAAAGCTGAGGACGATTCGAGCAGTGAAGGGGGCCCGATTGTGGCTGCTTTCGCATGGAGATAAGACGCTGTCTAATAATGACAATGACCCCGCCTGGAAAGATGTGTTTGAGCCCAAGCTACTGAGTGTAAGCAAAATACCAGCTGGTGACGATCCAAATGGAACTCTGCTTTCTGCCTCGCTCCGGTTTGAGGGGCAGGTTATACCTATTCAACGATCAAAGATAGGAGACTGCATCATTGATGAATTCCGCGTTGAGGTGATGTGGGACTACTTACCGCAACCACCGTCCGAAATTTATCTATTCAGCTTGGGCATCATATCAGTTGGATTGGTGCTTACCGCGGTTTCAAAAGATGATCATGAATACAAGCGTGTCGGAATTTTGTCAGAAATCGAGTGGAGTTGGTTCAGAGGTGTCGACACTGGGCTCATTACTTTAGTCTAGAAATCGAACAAGGAACTTTGCGGTGGAAAAGTTAAGTGCCAGTCACCTGCCCACAGATCCCTAGACCAGACAAGTCGATTCGAATAGAGCCTGAGAAGGTGCCAATGACTCAAAACAACAGACGCAATATACGATATTGTGCTAACTCAGTTCATCAAGTATGCGATAGTTCGTCAATTGTTTTAAGACATGATCATGTTTCGACTGCCACTTATTTCGTCCTCCACGAGGGAACTCCTCTGGCCCCAATATTACACGTGATCTTCCCACTTCCACTCGCTTTTCAGCTGCCCATCGCCCAGGGTCTGCGAAAGCTTTTCGAAACGACTTCTACACATCTGATCCTACGTTACTTCATTCTAATAAATTAATCAAAGCAACGTTACGGCCCTTTCCAAATATTCTATCACGTGTCACTCCCCCTATTACACAAGCGAGACCCTTCGCCACCTCGGTACCGCCTCACTGCACAACTTCGCACGAAACAAAATTCAAGTGTTCCGAAACTTCTTCATCGTACGGCATGTGAAAGAGAATTATCTATGATGTCCTTGATTACCGACCGTGGGAATTCTGCTAAATTTCTAGTGTTTGGGACGGCAAAATAGATATCACAAACGCGCCATGTACGCTAGTGAATACAGTTCAAAATTATGCACTTCAAAATCTCAATGGCCGCAACTAGCCCCAAGAAAATGCCGAGTGGCAATTTGGCATTGTCGAACATCCAGTGTCGAAGCACATGGTGAAGCCGCCAAGAATTCCATTGATGTACTTTGTGCAATTCTCGGCTTGACTACTGAACACAAGATGCATCACCGTTGCTATCAACCTTGCACAAAAGAAAGACCCTTACTCGGATTTTTGTATAAGAGAATGGCTTCATGCCTCTGGCATTCTTCAGCAGCACTCACCCGACTTCTCAACACTAGGGCGGAGCTTGCTCACTTCACAAGCCCATCGCGAAGCCCAGCGCGACACGACAATGGTAGATCAGAATACCAATTCCGAAGCGGGTCTTTTATGAATGACTCGCTTTGGCTTTCGCGGAGGAGGTAGACGATCGATTTTGGTGAGAATTTGAAGAGGGTGGAGGGTAATGTTCATAACGGCATCGCGCAAGGTCGCAAGAGGTAGGATATTACCAACTCCCGATTGACAAGATACCATGTCTAATGATATCATCTAGACTTAGCTCCATAACTATCGAACGAGCTCATCCGCCATATCCAACAACAAGACTATCTTCAACCCCCAAGTCTCACGTCAGAGAACAAAAAGGATTGCATATACAAAGCGCAGTGGGCCTCAGAGGCGAAGGACTATACTGAAGGTCGCTCTGTGATGACCATTTATAATATCGGGTTCGGAGGAAGTTTGCTGATTACGAGCAAAGACAAGCTTTCATGTCAAGCATCAGAAGATGGAATGTCGGCTGGGATTCCATCGTCCACTCTTTTTCTCCTCTAGAAGAATTTTTGTGTTGCGTTTTAGCGGGACCCTTGTGGTTGGAGTTGAAAAGGCAAGCTTTCATGTCAAGCAGTAATGTATATTCGATAGCGTATAGCAAATCGAACTTAATTTTTCAACCAAATCCAGGTAAAATATTTTTCTGCGTTTGGAGGACGGGATGTTCATGCTAGGTTCCTCCAACAATGCCGGGATTCTGTATTTGTTCACACATCTTCAGTCATAGATACACAATACACACCTCATATTTCTTTATTCTACCGTCTCTCGGGCCACCTTCTAACCATTTCCCTATAAATTGGCTCCGCAATTAACCTATAGATATCTTCCACTTCATCACTCCTGCCCAGCCCGCTCCTGGGAAAATGCAAACACGACTGCACCGGATCAGAGAACAAGCTATCCTGCGCTCGAATCTCCTCCCACGTCCATGCATGCGCAATTGCTAGATGGTACTCGTGTCTATATGTCGAAGAAACCGGCCTTAGCGGGGTCTTAGAGGCGAAGGTCTCGATTGGCACGCCGAAACAGAGTTCGATTAGGATTATACCAAGGGATTCCAGGAGTAGTTTGGTGGAGGCTGTGGTAAGTGGGGTCGAGGGAGTTGGCTTTAAACGGGTTGTTGAGAGGAAGGATTGTGAGAGGTAGGGTTCGTCGAAGAGGACTTTGCCATCGCGCTATAGAGATTATGTTAGCTAGTGCATTAATAACATCTGCAGTTGGGGGTTAGTTGGCATTAAATGGGTGGGCTGGGTAATATTGGACGGGATGGCTCATCGACTATGCCTCGCTGTAAATTTTGCAGCGATGACATTCAAAGTGCCCGGAATGATTTGTGGGGGGTCAACCCCAACGGAGTTCATCTAGATTGACAAATAGGCAGAGGCAGTGATAGAAAAGAAATGAACGAGGGCCCCATACAGCGGTAAAGAATATGTCATTCTTGTCTAGCCTCACGCTCAACCATGAGGTCTTCTGTAGCTGAAGAATAGTCGATGCCAGAATAGCAGCGACGACTGCTCGCTTTTCTGGCGGGAACTGATACGGCTGAACAGCATTGGCCTCCAGTATTTGAGCAAGCGTTCGATTCTCCTCTGCGGGTGAGACTCTCGAGTGCAACTGAAACTCATACGAGTTCATCGATTCGTCCACCATACAGCCCAAAATTGTATTAGGAGAAATTGTGCGGCAGGATATCGTTTCACACAAGTCTGTCAGCGGCTCGACAATAATGGGGATTGGAGGTGGGTTGTCGATCGAAACCGTAACTTCTTCAATGGCTTTTACACCAGCCACGTCAAGACGATCTTGGACTTGCATGTGCTCGGCAATTGCGAAATGTTTCATCACTTTGGTCTTTTCTTGTTTCGTCTTCGACTTTTTTGTAAACCGGTTTCTTTGAAGATGTCAGAGTTATCAATTAATTATGCGACACCATGGTCATTCTAGCACTTACTTCAAGCTAGATCTAACATCCCAAACGCGTTCTCGTAGACTCGAGTCTTTCTTGTTTGAGCTCTGGCTTCCAATACTGATCCCGGTTTCCGAACTGGCTTTGGGTGATACGACTGGTGGTTTGAGGTTGGCTTCAACACTCTTTGGCGTTACTGGTATTTTTGGGGTATCAATTTGTTGCGATATTTTAACTTTCACTGAATGCTGCAAGTAATTGGCGAAGTTCTGCGTCAGATCCATTAGTTTGGGACGACTTCAATACTGCTGATTGACCTGTTGCTCTTTCGTGCCTAATGAAGTGGGATGATTCCCGGAGCAGAGTGATCACGTACCTTATCATCCATCTTCTCTTTAGTTTCCGGTAAATAACATAGTAGATTAAAGTTGTCGTCACCGTGGTCGACTCTTCTCTCAAGTTGTATTAATACCTTATGAGATACTTCACAACAGCAATGCCAGCTGCTCTTCAGTAACTCATGTAAGTTGTTTGCGTTTTCTCTTGTCTTTTGGAAAAATGGGCCCAACCCCGAGGATGCGGTCTTGGACCGAAAGCCCCCTCGAACACTTTGTCGGTCGCTTAGTACCACCATCTGTTTGAGCTCTTCTATGAGCCTCTTGGACTCCTCATGGCCTTTATAATGATCATCGAATAGGACTTGAGTAATGCGTTTGAGCTCGTAAGATAACCACTGATGGTTGGATTGATTACTCGGATTTAGCTAATTTATGTTAGCCAAATGAGGGATTAGATCTTCCGCCTCAATAATCAGTTGAGGAACATTTTCGAAGAATAGGTTCGCTCCATTGTGAAGAAATGTCTGAGCTCGTTGAAAATATACCACAAGGCATCCCACCGCTTGTAAATTATCCTGAACACCGGGACAAATAACAACTACTTACTGCTTGGATATCTAGCAACTCTCCTAACTCGGTCATAATATCATATATCCTTTTGATAGTGTACATGCACCAATCATATCGCGAATCCAGCCGCGTAACAAGCCTCTGCTTCAGCACTGGGTCACGCCACCCGATGAAGTCTTTGTCGCCAACGATATCAAGAAATGAGTCTTTTGAATCACCGCCTATGAGATATGGATTGGGGCCGCCACACAGCAGATCTTGTAGAATGCCCTCAAAGAACAATTGCTGTCCTTCCATGTCCCGAATAAAAGACTCATATTTACGGCGAAATTGAATCCAGTGGGAGAAGTATCTTGACCCTTTCTTGTACTGCTCAAAGGTCATAATAATTGCGGGATAAACAGCGAGTACCAAGCCGGCGACCTCCATACCGACGTATTTCAACTATCTTTTGGCGACTCGGAGCATGTATGCGATACAACGAGGCAGTGACGACTACCCACCATGGCAAGGGGCTAAGACCGCTTCAGCAAAACCGTGGTTACCAAGACATTATCGAAATGAGTGTTAGAGCGAGCGAAATAAGAACGCGATTGTACAAGAATCAATCGGTGGAAATTCTGTGAAATTTCAAGAAGATCAGACTGGAGTGAGGCTGAGAGATGCGGAGTTTAATTTCAGCATGGCCGTGCCACATCCCACCCCTGGTCTGCATTTATGAGAACGATTCTTCTCTTCAGGTGGAACATTATCCCTCGCTTTGTGTTTACATCTTTCTGGGTGCTGAAGACACTACAGATCCCTTCTGGTTTGCAAAGAGTGCGCTCGAATGGAACGGCATGATGGGAGTTCATCTTCTGCCCAGAGGGTCCATCCATCTTCAGACACGCCTGATCTTGGCGGCAGTATTGCAGCCGCCGCACAGTCATGCTCGAAATTGTTCCAAGAATGCGCCAAACACATCGAATATGCAAGATCAACCAAGCAAACATATAGCTCACAAGTGTTAGAGCAGGGTAAAAGATACGATTTATGGGCACGAAACATCGCGGCTAGTCAGCCGTCTCAATTTCCAACTTCCTTGGAGTACCGACTCAGATCTGATGCCAACGCTCGCAAAATTGTTCAAAAAGCTCTTGATTATGTGAACGAATCTTTAGAGATGAGTATGTGCTGATAAATTGACAAACTTGCTAGCTCACAAAAATAGTCATTCCTATCTTGTCTGGTGATAAGCAAATTCTCACTTGGGAAGAGGAAATAAACACGCACACCCAAATTGATAGCCAAAGAGATCTGAGTGCGCGAGCATATAGAGAAGACCCGGAGTTTAAACCTGTATTGATTTCAGAATATGAGCTTCCAGCTAGAACCACCTCGGAGTTAGCCGAGCTATCGCTTTCTATCCAGGAAGGAATCACAAATCTCTTTGAGCTTTCCATGATCATACGCAAACGGCCCGAGAAGGATGATTACATTAAAGCGTCTCTGCGTTATAATTTTGATCCAAAATTCGACATCAATCACGTTGGAGATAAATATCCTGTTGCGAGAAGTGGAGAACCATGGTTGATGGAACGCCTAGGGACTGCCATCACAAGACGAAGACAGTACTTGCTTTACAGAAAGGAGCACCAGAAGCGGTCAGAAGAATTCCACCAAGTGAGCAAAGATGTAGACGGAAAGACTGTCTGGTCTGGTACCAAAGCATCAACCTTCGTCCCGGACAACCGATTAGGAGACTCTACTAGCCAGTCTTCAATACCAGATGATCCCATTATATTATCTTCACGTCCGCAAACGGAGTATGCAGATTCTAGTCGCGGCAAAGACGCTGGTTCGGATCTTCTGAGAACACCTCTGCTTCCAAAGGGTGCGAATGGCGTTCGTACAGGGTACGGTGAACACTTTGAGTGTCCATATTGCTGGCCCCCCCAGACCGTACAGAACAAGAATGAATGGAAGTGAGTGTTTCTGCTTATATGATCCATTTAAGCAACGTACTGATAGCTTGTTAGAAAACACATATTTAGCGATCTCCGGCCATATGTCTGCACCTTCGAGGGTTGCGGGCTTAACATGTTCGAAAGTCAGAATCAATGGTTTGATCATGAAACTAGATTTCACAGAAAGCAATGGCAGTGTAACATATGCCATGAAGAAGGCCCGATGATACGATCGGCTCTAGAAGTACACATGAAAAATCAACACGCAAGCGATGTTGAAGAGGCAACAATAGATGCTTCACTAGACGAGTGCATTGTGCCACGAATAGATGCGACAAAGTGCCCTTTATGTAAAGATTACGGTGCTCGACTTCAACGTATCAATCAGTCCGGCAAGTGTGACGTTAGTCTCAAGCAATTCCAGGAACATCTTGGTCGTCACATGGAACAGTTAGCCTTGGCATCTTTACCAGAAGATGATAGGGATGAGGAATATGATGAAGATGATGATCTTTTCGAGCCAGCCGACGAGGAATATGCGGAGATGGCAAAAGTTCAGGTAACTAAGCGATTCGGCGAATTTAACAGGGGGCAAGAGGAGAAAGATCCGAACGAATATGCTTCCCCTTCACGTTTTGAAGCGTATATAGATACGACAGACCCACTTATAGAAGTTCCTGAAATTTCACCGAGGCCATCGATATCTGCGGCGCCTGCCGACCACGAAAGACCCGAGAAGCTCGGTAGGCCAGTGGATGGACGGCAATTTGAATCAAGAGAACGCCGGTCCTCGCCCAACTCAGAAGATGATTCTTCCCCACTATCAAGAAGGTTCACCAAACGGATGCGAAACCTTTTGGGGGGCACCTCAAAAGTTAATTCAGCTGATATCAAGCGAGCAGACGCCAAAGATTATCCACAGATTCCTGGTGAGGAGCTAAGGCACCCCAGTTTTAGGGTGCGTAGTCCCGTACCCGAAGAGAGAACTCAGAGGCCCAGAACACCTCCCTCCCCCACGGGAGCCATAAGCAATCAGGGTAGGCCATTTTATGAAAGGAGAGACTCAGCCTCAGACTCTATTGACTATCCTACGGTTTCTGGCGACGACCCACTAAATCCATATCAGAAGCACGTTGAAGCTCAGCGCCGTGAAGGACCCGGGCGCAAGCCGGATACTCAACGTAGGAATTCAACGTAGGAATACGCTAGAGGTTCCTCATCCAGCTGACGCAACGAATGAAGCAACTTCCAAATATTGGGATGCAGCTCAGTCTGAAGGTGGATCTGATCACGCCGAACGACTACAAGAGCTTGAGAATTCTTTAGATAAATTATCCAAGAAGACTGAGGACAGTTCCGAGAACCCAAAAACGAACGATCCCGAAGGTCCCAGCACACAGATACCTCCAGCCCTCCAAAGAGTAATGTATCATCTAGATACTCCCAAGTTTCAGGAAGGGGACTATGTATACATTGAATCCAAAAATTTAGGACCTGTAGTAGGACCTCTCGTAATAAGTGCTCGCAGTAGAATATATCGCTCAGATGGAAAGCAATCAAAAAATGAAACACTTTGGGGATACCAATTGCTACACAATGATAAGCTCTACAACTCTGGGGAATGGGTGGAAGAGTTAAGACTAAGAAAATCTCCTTAGCGTGGTAAACGTCTTCTATTTCGGAGATGGAAAGACCGCTACGATACCCAGCTTGTCTTGGGGGGGTTTACAGGCACTGACAAGTCGAGCGAAACTCGCATGATGAAGCACGTCCAAGAGAATCCAAAGAAGGAACGACCAGTCATGAATCATAAGTCAGAAGTCAGAATTCAAGTATACTAATAATGACGAAGACTTGGACGACGATGGAAAGAACGAACAACACCGCAGCCCTGCAAAGCACGGAAAAAAGATCATTTCGTCCAGCGTCAAAGACTCGGATTTATTCCACTCACTTGACCAAATATGCCGTACTCCGTCTCTCGTTCTCAGTAATGCCTATGTTCTCAACGCACCAAGATGGCGAGCTTCCATAATTACTCAGTAGGACGGTTGCTTGGTTGCGTACAGGACCATCTTCGGAACAGGCTGGCTGGTGGTCTAAGAAGTGGTGTGAGTTTAACTTCAAGGCAATGGCGAGGATTTCCGTGCCAAAATGGTCGGGTTCAGGGTGGATGAAATGAGCCTGGATTTGTGGCAGCTTTGAGGGGTGGTGGGCAGTTATTCTTTATTAGTAGCGGCTCTACGATAGGGTATTTCGAGGAGATGGGAGGAAAATGCAACTATAGAGGGGATGGTTGGGTGCTAACAGGACTCAAGTCTAATGTAGCTTTGGGGAGAGGATACATTGCTTTTTCCTCGTACCATTCAAATTCACAAGCCTCACCCAGTCAAAGTTCCAAACATAGTGGCACATCGTCAAATGTCAGAGAATAATCAAATTTCTAATCCGCCCCTTCTCTACGGACCTGGACACCCCTCCGCCGGAAAGTTACAAGAACTCGTCTTCCCACCCCCCGTGATATTGGTCCCCTCGAACTTGATATTTGAGCAGCTGCCCGCTCCACACAAGACATAGTAATCTCTCGCGCTCTTATCCGCCGTGCCAACCACATTCTTGAACAGCACATTCGCGATAATGACACCATTACTGGGTGTACCATTTGGTCCGCCGTTCAGATAATCTTGTTGGACATCGATGCCGTAGTCGGTGATATTGGAGAGGCGGATGTTGGAGTAGGTTATGTTGGCGATGTAGCCTGTGGTGTTGAAGTTGGATTTGATGCGTGGGCCGTTGGTGGAGTTTACGACATCGGTGTTGGTAAACTAGGTGGGTCAGAATAGCATGAAGGCAGGGGAGAGGGCACATACGAGGATATTGGTTACGTTGTTGTTGCTCTTGCCGCCGACTGATCCGATACTTAGACCGTGGCCACCAGAGCAGTAGAGACCATCAATGGTGATGTTGTTTCCGCTGGTGACGGCCACGCAATCATCTTGGTTGTAGACTTTGTTGTTGGTGATGAGGATATTAGAGCTCTCTTTCACGCCATAGCCGTCGGAGTTGTGCGCTGCTGCGAGACCGTCGCTTCTGCTGTTTGGGGCTTCGCCGTCGCGGTTGTCTAGCAGCATGTCTTTAAGAATTACATCTGAGGAGGTTTGGATAGCGAATAGGTGGACGGGCCAATTGACGATGTGGAGGTTTGAAATGACGGAATTGTTGGTCATTTTCTTGACCGAGATGAAGGTATTTGGCCTAATACTTGTTAATATGCTTATCAACATAGTTTTTGGGTTGGCCTACTTTGGTACACCTCCATTCGAACCAAGTCCATCCCAATAAAGCGTTCCATTCCCATCAATAACAGAACCAGGAGCAGCAGTAATGGTGACATGATTGCCACCGAATATGATGGGACTGAAAGTACTACTGTTTGTAAATCCAAAGGTCGTTCTTCCTTGAAACGTGACTGTAGATCCAGCTTTCAGTTTGGAAAGGTCTACGGTACTATTTGGTGGTGCGTAAACATCTCGAAGTACAATGTTGGTACATGCTGCTACTGCAGGGGCGATTCCAGCATAATCTGTAACCAGACATGATCGAATGGATATGATGGAGCACGAAACAGCAGCCACCAACTGAGAAACAACGAGGAAATGACGCATCTTGAAAACTGTCTGAAGAATACTGCTGAACAATGCGGAAGTCTTAATCCAACCTACAACTGGTATGATAGCCTCTTTATACAACAAGCATTTCGATTTCTCGAAAGTCAAGCCTTGGGCCAAGCAAAGCTTTTCAATATTCTTGTACCTGACCTAGAGTTTTCCGGGAAAACTATAGCTAGGTATTCCGGTGGCGGATGGCCTGCTGAGGTTTAGGCGGAGTGTATTGCATAATTGTGGCAATCTCCGCTTCATAATTGAATGAGCGGGAGATAATTTTGGAGGCTCTATTGGCCGACCATGAATCATGACTATTGAGTTCTGGATGGGCCAAGGTTGAGCTACCGGTTGTCAAGAAAGCTTCGTCCGGGATAAGCAACTCGAAGGTTGTGAAGCACCTGGGCGATAGATGTTGTGGGGAACATGGGGTGCATGGGTGCGACGCGGGGAAGACTGGAGAAATTTCTCCACGAGTCGGAGTAGCGGAATCGAGCAGTAGTGCAGATATTAATAAAATCCTCGGAATTTCCACTGGCACGTGTATAATTCTCTTCTTTTCCAATCCTGGGGTCATTGGGGTGGATAGACATAAGGAATGCTATAGTGATAGATATAAAGTGTGGGGATTTTGATTCAAAGTATGCCGCCGAAATCGAGTCGTACACAGCTCGTATTTTTGCTCGTTCGAAGCATGAGGATAGAGACTGTCAGAACCATGGCGCGGAAACCGAGCCTCCGAAAGCTGTTTATTGAAGAGGTAGAAGGTCTTTGGTGATAAATATTGAACATCTTTGGTCTCCGGAAATCTAGACCCTCTAGCCAGTGTGCCTGCCTCGCGGTGGACAAGATAAGTGGAAGTTCAAAAACAGTACTTGCTGGAAACATTTGACGAAATTCGATATCATTGCTCCAAGATATTGACGAATATCGTATCATTGCTTCAGCAAATACCGTGGTTTGACTGCCACCTAAATTGTCTATTTCCAACCTGCTCGTAGTTCCGATTCGCTTTCTCGTCTTATTACGCTATTCGAGCTCGACTTCGAGTTCGAGTTCGCTTGTAGAGGATAAGTGGGGAGGTACACTCTTCTTCAGTGACTATGCGCATTGATTGTTTGTCTCGAGTTCTTATGTGCAGTCCATACCAAAACCACCGCAAAGGCAGACGTTTTGTACAGGACAACTAAAGCAGATTAGCATATCGCAGTAACACAGAAGATAATGAGAACAATTACTTACTGAATTGATTCCATGCCAAACAAAATGTGCCAAGTATGTTCCAACACCCTGCCACTGCTTGAACTAGATAACTTCGTTTCCTCCAGCCACTTCCTGATTGATTTCCACTCGTCCAAACTTCGTCTGTAGACAGCTTCCCTACTGACCGCGAACTGAGCACAGCAGGGTGATGCAATCTTCTCTGGTATCCAGCCCAAAAATTCCATCAAGAAACTCCCTATTTGAGTCTCCCTCGGTATTGCGTCCTCCAAGTCACTTAACGGTATATAGTTTCCGGATAATTCAATCACATTCTCACATGATCCTAAACATCTTGGCGACACATATCCAGAATCCATCACAAACTGATCCTTGAGGTATGTAATTTCGTGGGAGGCAGTGAGCAATTGATGCCATGCGTTTTCGTGATGGTGGTGGAAGAACATTATGTCTGGCAGAGAGTCGACGTAATTTTGGATGATATATGTTAAATACACCATTGCTTCGTTGCCTCGATTGATTGGCACAGTTAATTGGGCATCTGCTGAGTCTGTAATGTAGATGTATGGTTTCCAATTCGTGCTCTTGATGGCGGAACTGACCCAAGAGACGTTCGAAGACGTTGTCGCTGCAATGACCAGACTCTTAGTAATCTCTGGATAATCTGAAGCTGAATATTGCGGGTCTTCTGATGCGTCCATCCAGCGATACAACAGATAAAGAAAGAGGATCGGGAGGATGGTTTTCGCATATCGCGTCGAGAGCCGCTGCCAATGGCTATCAGTCATCGCAAATTTTGGAATCCGGTTTCTGTGAAGACGGAAGTCGCATGAGGATTTTCAGATATTAGATGCGAATACCGGCAGTATTTTAGGAATTGCGTTGATGCGAATATCTAAAAGCATTTGGCAGGTGGAGGTGGAAGTGAAGACAATCGCATTTCTCTCGCGCGCCGCGTCCGAAGTAAAATGTGGATGACCAACATCTGAAACATGCTTCACTATTACCATTCTGAGAGAACAAGATTCAAGAATTGATGTAACAACAGCTAATTGGGTTGCCTTCAAAGCAAACCAAACCAAATGCATACGTGATCTTGAGAAGTACTCCGAACACTTGATGAAAAATCTCCGCTTGTAAATAAAATTCAGATGTCTCTGCAACGTCGCCTCTTCAGGAATGTGCTAATATCTGAACTGACAACCACAATAACCAAAAGATGAAATGAAAAATATACCCTCTTCATCACCAAACCGTGAAGCAATCCAGACCTATCTCGCTTGACAAAACCAAATCCTAGATCTGCCAGATCTTCCCATCCAAGTCTTGGTACTCTTGGCTTCAAGGCCCTCAATCCATTGTGGTTCAGCCACAGATGCCCCCGGCATTTGCCGTGCCCGAGCTGGGTGTGGGGAGCTTTGAGCCTAAAAGATTTCTGCCCGCGTTCGGTTACATTCGACCTTCAACCAACCCAAAACAAAACACAATTTGAACCTCATCTTCTCATTTTCATCGCTTATATATACACAAAGCAAATTCGACAATGGGTATCTTGAGAACTGTTTTGAATACGGCGGTACTGGGTGGTGCAGGAAGCGCGGCTGGTTTCGCGTTCTGGACTCGCAATTGTAAGTAACTATCCCACTTTCCTCCAAGCTCAATTGTACGACGTCAATATCATTTCAAAGTCATCGAAGATCATCTGAAGCTGTACGATGAAGCCTGTGATGGAAAGCTAATGCGACCATAGCTAAGTTCATTCCTGTGTCGTCGGCCGAGCCTATTTTCTCCTCGCCTTCGTACCTGCGAAACAACCCGAATAAAAACCCAATCACACACGATCTCTGTGTAAGAAAGGTACCTTTATCGAAGATAAGAGCAGATCTCTTGGAGAACGAGCAGAAGCTTACCGAGGCTTTTTGTGCTGGTGTTTGGAGTGGTTTGGGTATGTTGATCATTTTTTCTTAATTATCAGTGTTGATACTCATGTATACATCGTGAGTCTGGAGACCGATAAGGCAGAATCTCCACTTGACAAAGCCAATCTAAGGGCTTTCTGTCTTTGCGTCGGCCGATGCTGCATCGTGGTTGCCTATGTTTCGGGAACAAGCATAGATCGTCCCTTCGCTAACAAATGCTTTGTCTTGTAGGTTACGCGTACCAACGACGCTTCCTCGAAAAGAAATACAAGAACACTACTACAACTGCACATCAGCTTTGGACCCGAGAACAGCTGCGAGCATCCACCTACGACGTCGGTACCCAGATTACCGATCATTTCGAAGTCGTCTCCAAAGCCCCATCCTCAATCGTCGTTCGCTGCGGTGATTCCCCTTTGAAATCCGAAGTTCGAGCGTCCGATGGACTCTTCGAAATCGGTGTGAAAATCAAAAAAGAGGAAGGGGTTGCGGAGTTCAGGTTGCAGAGTTTGTTCTATCAAGGACTCGGCAAAGCTGAGGGCAAACCCATGCCGAGTCATATTGAGTTCTTGCATCGATTGTATACAAAGTTGTGGATGGAGACTGCCATTGGAAATGTCACTGGCAAAGGGGCTTAGGAGAGACTTTACAGAGTTTGACCTTCGATCTCGGTGCATGCATGCTATCCTCTGTGGAAGTCATCGCATTAGATCACTGGCCAAAGATTTTGTACAAAATCTTCGACCACACGTCCGAAACATTTTCATTGTCGAGTACACTCAATTTTCATGACCTCCTCGCGGACACGAAATCCGCATATAATTTTCGAGTCATCCTTACAACATACCTTCCACAGAGGGGTTCGCCGAGTCATGAGCGAGGCGATCCGAAATTTCCTATAAATTACCACTGCCTGCGTCAGAATTTGGAAAGACAAAGGTGCAGCACGGAACATAACTTAACATTGGTAGACGCATTCTGGCAAACCCGTCTGGGTTTGCCTTCGTGCCTACCTACGCTGAAGCATTTTCGCGGAATTTCCGCCGAAGTGTTTCTCTACGCTTTTGAGCATTTCGAGGAGTTCTATGCCCCTTTTCGGGAGAACGAGAGACTGGGTAGAATTGCTACCGAAAGCAGAGTTGCTACCGATTATGGAGCTGCTGCTGAAATACAGGGGATGCGGGGGCAAGGGTAGTTATGGTCTGATGTTGAGGCAGAGGTTAGTAATTCCCCAAAGCTTCTCGATACAAACTAACGATGTTTACTACAGTAAAAGGTGGACTGAAAAGCTGAACGCAAACGCTCCACCGGCGATTACTCGGTAAAGCCTGCAACTACTGGAGACATTGTGGGACGACGAAGGAGGGGACGGGAGGGGACTTTATAGTCTCCTCTGGAGGCCCATTGGGCTGTTCACCTTGGAGGCCTGCCGCGGTTATGAGTACGACCTAATTTGTAAGGCATCCTTTGCAAACACTATCGGCACTGGCGTTATACTCGTTCCTCTGCTAACAAGCGTTCCAACAGATATCGAAAGGCAATGCCTCAGCAGGCGATGACTCCGTAATGGAGTAATGTCTGTGTCTTGAAGAAGACACTCACAAGACGTGGAAGACTTAACATGTCCAGCCTACCTGGGGCGCTTCTCACATCTGGCCTACTTCGATCGAAGCTCGAGTCATAATGATTCTATGACAATTGTCATAAAGAAGACGAGGATTCTAAACCAATTGTGGAGGTGAAGACGAGGATTCTAAACCAATTGTCGAGGAGAAGACGAGGATTCTAAAGCATTTTTGAAAGAGCTTAACAACGCAGCACTTGCCGCATTCTTCTTCGATATGATAGGAAGAGCCGACATCGAAGGATCAAAAAGCAATGTCGCTATGAACGCTTGGCTGCCACAAGCTCGTTCCGTTCTACCTCGTAGGGTGCAATAACTGTCTGCCTCGCTATATCGAGATTTGACTTTCTACACTTCCGAGAAGATGCTATGCGAATAACGAGACAAGATACGAAACCCTGGGTCTCTGGAAGCGTGGTGGCTTGCAGACATACAGTTGATTTGAGGATCTGCGGCGACACGATACGACGCCAGGCGATTACTCGGTATCGCCTGTCTCTGCCGTCGAAGCCATCTGTGGCTTCGGGCTCTCCAATGGCGTATCCTTCTGGATACTCTTACTACAATGGTCAATATGTTGTCAATCCATATTCCCCGCGCCTTCCTATGGAGCCTATCAATAGCCACAACAAGCCCACCGCCTGACGGCGACGGTCGGATTGTACGCTGAGAGAAGTGCGAACACCTGACGGGAGCTGGTCCTGGAGCGACGCTACACATGGCCACCCCTCCATCTAATTGCCTCCACTGAGTTCCCCACGGGCCGCAAGAGGAAGGGACCGGCTTGGACTTACTCCCGACTTTCTTGCAGAAGGTTAGTCATCGGCTCCTTTGGTCGTTCAATGAATAGAAGGCCACTTCCTCTTAAAACGGTTTCTCTACCCCGACACCACTTGGTCATGGCACCAGCAGTACTGAGCATACACGGAGTGGTCCTCACATCCAGCCTACCCTCGAAACAAAGAATTCCAAACTGGGCAGAATCTACTCTCCCCAACTAGAGCAACCCTTGCACTCAAGCCCTCCGGTAGTTGTAGGCTTTACCGATTGTCCTTGAGAAGTGAGACAAAGATTTCATTCTGGGCAGAATCTATTCTCTCAGATGAGAGTAACGCTTGTGTTCCAGCTACCCAGTAGTTGCAGGCTTTACCGAGTAGTTGCCAAATAAGACGTCGCGGAGGGGCTGCTGCCCAACTCGATGTTGGCGGTGGCCCCGAAGTCAATGAATACGTCCTCGTATCACTCTTCCAAGCCCGCTTCCCATCTTGCAAGTCAGCTAAGATCATGACTGACCCAATCTCGGGCATGTCCCGTGGTTACGGGTTCGTCCGCTTGCCGACGAGCAGGACCAGCAACGTGCTTTGACAGAGATGCAAGGAGTTTACTGCGGCAATCGACCATGAGAGAGACCCCACTCCAAGCACATCGTGGAAGAAAAAGGTCTTGGTGATAAAGATACGGTGGTGGAGGAGGACTAAGCTGAAGACATTAGCGGTTCGTGTGTACGAAGCTGAGTGTATGGCGTGGTATATATTGCGGCAACGGAGCTCGAGAGGAGCTCCACCCACAAAAACATTATGAGACCAAACGTCTATGGTGGATAAGGATGACGATGGATGGTGTGCTGTGGAAATAGTTGTATGCCAGAGAATTGAACACTTACCCCATGCTTTTCAGTCTGAAATTCTAGCTTCCTGAGGCCGTATCAGGCAGTGCTTTGTGAGTGTAATCCGCTGCTTTCGGCAGCAATACTGGTTTCGACAGCAGTTGTATGCCAAGGTCGTCGCTGCCGATTCTGATCGTGCTGCCGAGTGGGGAGCACGGGGTGATTCATGGATTGTATGAGGCATTAAGGGGGGCTGTGTAGGGGGAGGTTGTGAATGGATTGAGAGGGAGGGTGGAGCTGAGCTTGACGTTGTGGTGTGGATGGAGGGAGGATGGGAAGGTGAGAAGGAGATGTGCTTCTGCTGTTGAGCTGCTGGGCTGCTTTTGCGGTGGGATGGTGCTAAATTGGTAGAAATTGAGGGAGGAATGTTGGGGAAGAGGTGTTTGATCATGATAATGATGAGCTATAGTTGTTTAATGAGCTGGGGATGTTGATGTAGATGTTCCTAATCCATGAAAGGAAGCATTAAAGGGAAATTGGGTTGGCAGAGACTTAATATACTTAAGGTAATAATATAGTGTATAGCATAGTAACAAGAAACACAACCCCATATATTGGTTCTTAAGGCACTATCTATTATCCTCAGCTTCTAAACTCATTAAACTTTACCCCTGAAGTCGTGGTATTGATAGATTATTCTGTCTTGACTTTGAATTACTACTATATTGTGTACGCTGAGCCCTATAAAGCATTATGACCCTCCGACGCAATACTCGAGGACGTACGGCTTCGCTAACCGACAAACATAGTATGGGAGTTGTTCTCTATGGGTTGATGGCCGTGTTATAAAGGTCTAGTGGGATTATAAGACAGGGGAGGAGGTATGAAGGGGACGAGCGCAGATGCTGCTAGAGGGGGGCATGTTGTTGAGGTAAGGCTGGATTGGAAAATACAGTTTGCGTGTTTGACGGGAACAGAATGATGCTGCTGTAATGAGATGAAGCTGTAGTTTCTTGGTGGTATAGAAGACTCGAAGTCGAGACTCGCGACACTGACAGGAGAATCAAAAGCCAGTACTCCAAGAAACATCTCTCTCTATCTGATAGCTAGAACAACGACAAGCATATCTACAATACATAATCGTATATATCATCCCCTTTCCTATTAAGCACCACCACTACTCCTTAAAGCAACCCAGCGTCTCCACCACTGCTCCCTTCTGAATAACCCAAATTATCCTCCACCACCACCATTCACACACCCTTCTTCCTCCTCCCCCGTCCGCCTATATTCATCAAGTATAAAGGCCCTCTCCTTCCCTTTCCAGCAACAATCAACGCGGCTATACCACAGCTAACACACCTATCTCCTGGGTTGTGTTCTCCTGCCAAGATAATCTGGCTGAGTATAAATCGCTCGGTGGCTGTTGGTAGGTATAGGTAAGGATTTGTCCTCGTTTGTTTTTTGTTTCGGTGTTTCTTGTTTGTATGAGCGTGGAATAGACTTTCTTCCTTCTTGAATAATGGTGTGGATATGGAGGTTAGCTAGGTTTCTAAAGCAAAGTAGTTAGTTATGTTGGTCAGGGTATAGATAAGGACTTTTAGGGATTCGAGGGTTGATAGACTTAATACTAAGCACTTACCATACATGTCTTTCAACTACTGGCTTTAGCAAACATCATGCTTTCTGCAATTGCTACCCCCGTAGGTTGGTGCTGATTTTTGATGCTTAAAAGCTCATTGGTTGGCTGTGATACAGCAGCAGAGTCTGAACCATTGGATGGATGTTGACAAATAGAGTCAATGCCAGGCACTTGTATATCTATCTCCCCGGCTGCTACTTGCATTTGTAGATAGAATGCTTCCTGTCTCTGCCACCTCAGAACATTGAATAGAACCGTAACCCTGAGCATGTGAACTTTTAAGAGATACATGTACTGGGTATAGTATAGCCGCAGATTATGAGCTATTCGAGACTTGTTCGCAGATGGAGGTTAGGATGTGCAGATATGTTTCGAGGGCTTTTATTAGCGCAGAATATGCTTTGCAGCTTTGTGGGAAGTTTGCTATTCACAAAAGTTTGTGCGGTCTTCGAGGTCTAATAACAGATACGTGTGTTCGCTGTACTATAGCCATGATGATAGTCAGTATGTAGAGCTAAGCAAAGGCGAGCAGACCTAGCAATGACATCGACTGCCTGTCTATTACTTTTACTGGCTGGTAGCATACCTCCAATTCCTGGGAAACTCAATACTTCTGTAACTTGATAGTCCCTCTGGCTATATGCCATCTGCGAAGCCCTGTCTGCCACCAGTATAGTATTGGCTGGAAACATATCATTCCATATCTATGATAACTGCTGCTCCCAGAGATCGAGTGGTGCGTTCTACGGAGTGGCAGGGTTGCCAA